GTAAACCGAGGTTCCACTGTAGAAAGAAAAAGAAAATAGGTGAACACTGTATGTCTTTGTCTCTACTCCGCCACTGCTACTTTGCTTTGCCTTGTAGGTTCATCTCAGGAGGTGCCCGCCTCTATCTACCCCCAAATCTCTTTCATGGTGGGGTTTTTGCAATGGTCCAGCAGAAGCTGAATCTCAGATTTTGTGTGTGAAGCAAACAAAATTGCTGAAGGGTTAGAATTGGGCAAGGATCAAACTCCAAGCAGTTAGGGTCAGATTTCAGGAGCTGGTAGTCAGCCCAAAAGTTGGGGTGTGGTACACATAGCTGGATGGCTGGTTTTAGAGCAAAAAGAGGAGGAAGGAATCCCAAGTGCCAGTGAAAATAATTTTATTGAAGCTTTTTGGAATTTGGAAATACATTTCTTTCTCAAGGGCACAATGCAAGAAAAAGCACAAATAACTATGCAAGCACTTATAAAGGACATAATACAAAATTTATAAAAATAGATCATTTTCTTTATGCATATGCTAACCAATACAAAATAGGTGGGACAGCATTATCAGTCTGATATTGAGATACCATACGCTAGTGCAGTGTTTTTCAACCTTGGCAACTTTAAGATATATGGACTTCAACTCCCAGAATTCCCCAGCCAGCAGTGCTGGCTGGGGAATTCTGGGAGTTGAAGTCCACATACTGTATCTTAAAGACTTATAAAGGACATAATACAAAATTTATAAAAATAGATCATACTTTAAGATACAGTATGTGGACTTCAACTCCCAGAATTCCCCAGCCAGCAGTGCTGGCTGGGGAACTTTAAGATACAGTATGTGGACTTCAACTCCCAGAATTCCCCAGCCAGCAGTGCTGGCTGGGGAATTCTGGGAGTTGAAGTCCACATACTGTATCTTAAAGTTGCCAAGGTTGAAAAACACTGCACTAGAGACAGGGACAGCTCTGAAATCTCAAACTCAGCTCTCTGGGAATTAATGGTCCCAACTGGCCACTGGGAACAAACTGCTTAACCACTGAAGCACACCAGAAGTGCAGCTTAGGGGATGCCCAGAAGTCAGTCTGCCCATTTGCAGTAGGAAGAGAGTGTTGGCCTTAAGACCTCTGAGCTTGACAGCCTGGGCTGGCCCCCTAGCTTTTTACATGAGGTTTGGTAAGAGAAATTGTCAGGGATTGCAAGCTTGTGCCAATGAACCATCTGCCTTGATTCACCCCTTAGGTTGCAGAATAAGTGGTGCTGAGGCATGCCTAAAGACTTATGGTTGTTTTTTGAGTTACCCAGACTTTCCTGACCAGCTAATTTTCATTGGTGTAGCCAAGTCTCTCTCCAGTCCAACAAGATATTTATTCCGTCTGCTGTTCTAGCGATTGTCAGCTAAAACAAGCAGCAGCGTCCCTCTACTAACCCAGTCCCTCTGTACTGAACTGGACCTCATCCTGCCGTTTCAGATGTCAGGACCGTGCAAGGACATGGATACAGTGAACGCCCCAGAGACAGAGCTGGTGGGGTCAAGTACCAGGCCAATAGTCCCATGCAGGGAGACCAAGCAGAGAGGTAGTGGGGATACCAGCTCATTGGGTAAGTGATTCCAATATTGTACACTCCCTGGGGATGGGATCTCAAGTCTTGCCCTTTGTACACCCCACTGCAGATTGCTCAAACAATTGTAGCTCTTCACCTATCTGTTTATCTGATAAATAATGGATAAGATGCTTTAGGGCAGTGTTGTCCAAACTTGGCCGCTTTAAGATGAGTGGACTTCAACTCCCCCAACTTCCCCCCAACGCCCTCCCTCCCCGGGGGGCTCCGGTTTTTGGGTCTCCCCCCCTTAATTGAGCCAAGTTCTGACACAAACCCCCACAA